TTCTCGGATACCAGGATAATTTTTGAATTCAGCAAGTAAAATTGAATAAGAAAAAATGTGAACACAATTCCTGCATCCACAAATCGCCTAGAATGCATTAACTCCTTTGTGAACTTGCTATGCTAATTACCTCTTTCTCAAAAGTTAAGTTAATAATTTTCTTTCAATATTATTTTAACCTGAAAGGTCCTTCATGTTTTCTTCTCTTGACCTAAAATACTTTCTTCTCTCTCGCAGCTCAGTGATCTTCGATAATTTATTATATTATTTATTATTTTTGAATCATAGATCACGTCGTTTTCTTCGCTTTTGTTATTTTAAGCTGGGAATTTTATTCCACGTATTTACTTCGATACTGTTTTTTCATCTATGTTGTTGCACTATTGTGTAAGTAAATTTGGACTTTTAGTTAAATTAGACAATTAACTACGCGATGGAAGACGAGATAGTATAGAGACAATGCGAAGATAACAAGAGAGATTGACGCCAATTTAAAGGGATCCTAAAGACGATTTTTTAGTCATATTGTAAAGAACTCACACACAGATTATTTACGTGTCATTGACATATCACTATTTACTATATATCTCACGCACTTAAATTTTTGTATAATGATAACGTTTTAATTAGACGTCCAAGCTTAATTTTAAGCTTTACACGTTGTTTTTTCGTGCAACCATAGATTACTAGTCTATGAATTGCTATTTTAAGTACAAATTGCACAGTTTTTATATGAAGTAAATGTTACTACGTGACAACTTTGGAGCGCTATATTAGATTAAGAAATTGTAAAGATCCCAAATTTCTTTCGAAAATTTTTTGTCGTTCTCAGTATAAACTCCACCTCATACAGACACATTAATGAGTATATTTTAATTCTGGAAAAAGATTTTCGAATCTGTAAAAGAGGAAAAAAGTACAATTGTTATACAAAAATTAGATGATTTAGACGGTGATACAGACAATTTTAAGATTTCTCTTAATGATCTTTTGATAATAAAAACAAATACAAAACAATAAATTAGTATAAAGACTATGTGAGTCAGCGCAGTTAACAGTGCGCACACACACAAATAAATTAAATTAAAATTATTTTATTACAAAAACCTTGATCACAAATATGTAAATAAATTTCAAAACGTACGTTTCGGTTCAATTTTGAATTATCAGCGTGAATCTCTCATGACAATATTAAGAAACTAAATTATTATAATTTTGTGTATTGAATCAAACCGCATTGTTACATCCAATGTTTCTTTTTCTGGTCACAATCATAGGGAGAACGAGACCCATCTTTAAACACTCAACCAACTTCTAAGTTGGAAAGGGGGGGGGATTATATGTACCTTAACTATAATTATTATAAAAATTATTGAAGTAATAAGCGTAGTTAATTTTGCTATTAGTATAACAATTACTCACCTCCAATTAGTGTAACCAAATGAAAAGCAAATAATTAAAATTATACATTATTTTCCCACAAGTCAATCATTAAAAAATATATAAAATTGTTATAAATAGAATTAAAATTAAAATTATCATCAAACATTGATTAGATGGCGAGTCAACCGAAAATGATGTACATTATTATTGTTAAAATGTATAGGTCATATAGATAAACGTCTAAACGCGCGTATATAAATCAGAAATAATTAACCAAATCATCGTACATGAAGTCATAAATAATTGACCAAATTGTTGTAAATTTGATGTAAGCCCTGTGTATCCGTTTTCAAATTTAATCCAGTTTTTTGACTTATATGTATCATTTCTAAAATGAGTCTTTTATTGTACATTCTTTCTGCATCCAGAATCTTGACTTCATTCCAATTAAAATCATGATTGTGATGCATCCTATGGTCTGTGATGACAAAATATGTTGTTGTTCTTCTACGTATATGCTAGTTTGTTCAACGTAGGATCATAATCCTTACACTCAATTTTATATACTACATTCATTTTATTAGACATCCGGCAGAGAGTCTTTACTTTAATAAACTGGTTTTATTTATTTATGCTATAAAAAGTTACTTTTTGTTGTATATTGTTAAACACATTTTTATATTGTTCAGAAACACCTTTAATATTAGAAAAGCCACTTGTGTTTTGTCTGATTTATGATTTCAGGTGTTTCCTATAATTTTTGTTTCAAAGTTTTCTTATTGGTTAAACATTTAATTCTTTCTGCCATCGTCTCAAAGATGAATTGCATAGGATAGTCAATTATTATTTAAAAGTATCCGTACTATTATTATAATTATAGTGTAAGATTTTCTTGATGAAACTCTGGATGTGATAAAAGAAACGCTTTGTCTGTGAGTCTTATAATTATATACCTCTTTTTTGGGAAACAGGATGCTGGATTAATTTGCGTACTGTTAACCGCGCTGACTCACATAGTCTTTATACTAATTTATTGTTTTGAATTTGAGGAGTCCAAATATTGATTTTAAAAATAAATACATTTATATTTTAATGATTCTATAATCGTTTTCTATTAATTAGGATAATTTGTAGTGGTAATTATAGTTATTAATATAAATTTTATTATTAGCAAATTATCACCATTATCCATATTCCATTTATCCAATAGTTTGAATTTGATTCTATTGTTACATCTTTCATATGATCTATATCAACGAATAAGTTCAACGTTGATCCTCTTTTTACTTAGCTTCCATATTCCTCTTATGTTTTTTGGGCATAGTTACAAAGAGGGAAATTTATCGTCGTTCGTACTGTTCACTTTTTCTATGCTCTAGAGGAACCTAATCCCTTCTTTCTTTTTTCGCGGAGATCTCCACTTCACATGGCTGGATGGACCAGTCGTGAACCGATGGATCTTTACAGGAACGGAGAGATTCGCCATTCGTGCGCACGCATATCAGATTTTCGCGGGATCGTCGTCGTTGTCGTTATCGGCGTCGGTGTCGGCGTTGGCGTCGGCGATGCAGCGCGCCGCACCGCGTTTACCGCGTTCCAGTCGACAGTTCTCTCAGGATCGTCAGTAGTCCAACGACATTCCGTTGAAGTGCATCGACTTTATCTACCTTATGACGCCTTGTCGTAGTCGGGTGGTTGTCTTGCCGTACTATTTTCCTCAAGACACATTATCACGCGCGTTTCCCACAGCTCAGAGCGAACGAACGAACGTTCGCACACGTTCAATGCCTTCGCCCCTTGTCTTGTTGTCACCTCTCATTACTCTCGCGCCGCTTTCGCCGCCTCTATTATTTTCTGTCGCGTGTAGCCGCGTACGGAGTGTACTCGCGCTTCTTATGCTTTTTCTCTCCCCACTACTTCTCTTTATCCGCCATTCTTTATCGTTCTAGTGTATATACTCATAAGCTCTCCGTTATGTCAGTGAAAGAGATAGGGAAGAAAAGAATCGGTGGTTTTTACTTTTTTCTATTTTTTAATGTTTTTCTTTTCTTTTTTTGTTTATTTTTTCTCTCCATTACTCCCGATTTGAAATCACGCTAGTAAAAGTCGAAGGATTAAAACACCAATTACAAATGGCCTTTCATTTCAGTCTCATGTTATACGTGTGAATTGTCGATTTAATCTTCGTGAATTGTCGGTTTAATCCTCTTGTCATTTTCTCACACTCGTCGCGATTTGTTCTTCGTTTGTTATGTTTTCATTTTTCGCATCGCGTCATAGCGCTAGAATGGCAGTTATAATATAAAACAGCTTCAAACGAAAAAATTGATAGAGAAACAGTTTATTTTCGAGCAAATTATATCTCGGCGAAATAATATTATTTTATTTCTGACAAATTTGTACATATAATTATATATTTATGATTGATATATATCATAATCTCTTTTCTTTTCGCGATTTTTTAACTATAACAGTTGAAACGTTTAGAAAGATTTTACCTTTAATAGATTTAGCTAAAAATTTATAAAACAATTAGAAATTAAAAAAATATCTATATATTTTTTGCAATATTTCCGTATGAATTTATATTGTGAGGACTATTTGTATATGTCAATTGTATATAGTACATATAATTGTACATACATATAATTATACATATATAGTACATACATTGTATATAACAATCGTATATACTTAATATTATTTTATTTCGCGAGTGAAATTGAAGCTTTTTGAAGGAAAATTTCGATTTTATACGCATTTTATTTTAGATTAATCAATTTCTTTTTTTTAATATTGTTTATCAGTTTTTGTATTTACTTACTTCAGGTTATATATTGACAAAAATAAGAAAATAAAATAAGAAAAAGATTTGATTATGTGTTAACAATATGAAAGAATTTGGTTTACAAATTTTTTTTAGCCATCCATCTATCCCTTTTATTAGTTAGTTGTTTAACTAGTTAAATTCTAACATCTAATTTACGTACATTATTGTAAATAATATTTCCTTTATTATTTCTGTTGCAAAAGTTTTTTCGATCACGTTTCTTAGCAATCTGAAACCATTAAGCACACGTTTTCAATCTCAAAGTATCCCTCACTTTCTTTTTTCATCATATGAGATTTCCTACAGATTTCAATTTGATTCATTTTATAGTACTTTCTCTATCTTTCGTTAATAATTCGCAACTGTTTCGAAACCACTGCAATAGACGCTCGGAGACGTCGGTCAATTAACTTTTTCATACATATTTTTTCTTTTTTTTTATCGAGATGCGATATAAATTGGTGACACTTATTTGTGAATGCAATTTCCACAGTCATAAAACATATGATGATTTGTTGTCACTTGACTATCTGACAATTGATTTTAAGTCGTACTCCTGAAAATTATTTAAAATATTTTAATTTTTTTTCTTAAACTCAGTTTCTTTAAATATTAATTTTTTCCATTAAATAATTATTTAAAAATATCGGAAAAGTGTGTGTAAAATATATGTATAGGATATTCTCTCAGTACTTGATTTTATATGATACGAAAGTCAAGACAAATATAAAAAGTTTTATTTTAAATTTAGGGGCCTGTACGTGCACAATAAAAAGAAGATAACCATATTATGTATAAAGAAAGAATATGTGTAAGTGCATATATTATTGCGCATAAATGTCAAATTTGTTTGTGTAATTTGAATTAAATCACTACACACATTACATTATACATATCACGTCACACTAACACAACAGATTTTTCGGCTTTTATCGATTTATCGCGACTTTGAATTTCTTCGTGGTTTACATTGCGTGATCTATTAAACGGAGATGGACATATAATATGAACAAATCGAAAACACTCCCATCCTACATTAGTTTAGAATTTTTTCATTGTCGCCAATGGTTCCATTAATTTGAATAATTCGAAAAAGAACGATCGATCAATTTGGAATAAAATTTTCTTATTGTATTATTATGTATTGGATTCTTTTACCAGCAAATCTGGCATCGATGATTAGTTCATTTGCGACAGATGCGCACACTTTTCGAAAAGTTGTTAAAATCGATACGTGCGCTGCGGCTCAAGATTGGTCAAAGTTGGAAAGTTTCGTGATGCAGTGATTCGAAGAGACGGTAGTGAGCTTTATTTCTCATCTTACAAAGGAAATGGACAAGGACAAGAATGTAGAAGGTAAGAGAGTTATTTTAGACACTGTTCTTATTTCCGAACACTATCGATGACCTCTCTTGAGCCATCACGTATCTGGTCTTATAAAGATAAGTCTTTTTTTTCTCATCCTCCTCCTCTTCCTTCTCTTCATTCTTCTCTTCCTCCTCCTCTTCCTCCCCTCCTTCTCCCCCACATCCCCTCCACCTCCCTTATCCCCCTCTTCCTTCCCTCCCCCTCCTCTTTCTTCCCTCCCTCTTCCCTCTCCTCTCTCTTTCTCTCTCTTTTTCGTTCTCTTTCCGTTCTTTAGATGAGTGTCATCGTATTCCTGTAGTGATGGCTTACTAAAAGAGAAGATATTTCATTGTTTTTATTTTATTAATATCTAATAACATCATATCCATACTGTATTATCTAATCTTTATTCTTAATTTTACATTGTCTCTACAATATGTTTGTTTTGAATATTCTTAACAAATTGAAAATCTATGAACTTATCAAATTAAAGACAGAAATTCTTTGTAGTACTTATTCCAAGTTTGTTGTGACTTTCCATATAATATGCATGTTGCATAAGATATTTAAAAGACATCTTTTAGACATAAGACATCTAAATGATATCTTTCAGATATCTTATGCAATATAAATGTTATCTAGATTTCAGATAATACACATTTAAATAAAGAAATCGTATCATATTGTTACTAATACATATGGAAAGTTTAATATTTCTATATATTTTATATTAATATTAGTTTTTAAGAGAAATTAATTTTCTGAATGTTCAAATAAACACACATAACATTCTATTTGTTTTCGCGTTTATGGATAAAAAATTTTAGGCTTTTAAATAAAGTTAGATTTGTGAATAAAAGCGCAGCTGGCAATCGTAAGAAAGTTATTATATACAGGATGTTCTTATGTTTTGGCATCACTCATCCTGAGCAGGTAGAGCGAACTAAAATGAATCGAAAATTCCTTTATCATTTTGCGATTTTCGCAATAGTTAACGAGATATTAAATATTAAAAATCGCTAAATATTGGTTTTCAATAATTTTTTACTCAAATACTTTCAACTTTACAGAAAAATAGCAAGAGATAAAAATTGTTTATTTTCTTCTTATAAAGTTCTGAGAATTTTTTCAGAATTTTTTAGTACCATATTTTCTCATGGTGGTAAAAATAAGAAAATACAATACTAAAAAGTTGATAAAAAATTCTGAAAAAATTCTTAAAGTTCTATGAAAAGCAAATAAATTATTTTTGTTTGTAGCAATTTTTCTATAAAGTTGATAGTATTTTAGTAAAATTATTGAAAACCAATATTTAGTGATTTTTAGTAATTAATATCTTGTTAACTATTGCGAAATTGCAAAATGGTAGAGCACTTTTCGATTCAGTGTAGTCCGCTCTCCCTGCTCAAAATGGGTGATGCTGAAATTTAAGTATAATACCCTGTATATTATATCATGAGGTAGTTGACTCTTCAGGATCGTTCGATTCATTTGTAATGAACTAACATTGTAATTATGTATAGGGAAATCGTCGATAAGATTTATTTTCGGAATTATGTTTATAAGTTCATGCTCAAATCTACATTTTCGTTTCTGTGTTATTTCGGGATTGTTCAAAAATATTTTTTCACACAGTTAGGGTAATTTTGGTATATACACCGCATCTATCAAAAACTTAATTTATTAAGTTTTATTATTTACTATATTTAAAGTAAACGAACTATATCAGTAAAAACTTTGTACTGTCTACTATTATGAAAAAAATATTAGAAATCTCAAATATTTATACTTCGTATTAAAAAATAAACTTTTTTAAATCCTTGTATTTTTATATCCCATAGGGGTGGAATATATGTATAGTCTCGGATTGGACTACTCATAAGGGAAGGGGAGATATATCGGCTCATGAAAAATTTACAAATAATACATATAAATAAGACGTAAAATGACATAATAACTTATAAAATGCGTTTAGAAAGTTTTATTAAGGAATAAGAATAATAAATATGTATATTCAATCTGCGCACTTTTTGTATGCATGTGGGCATAAATCCTGCCCGCTAAAAATGCCGTATATCCCAAACAGATGGGATATACAAGACAACAAACTAAACAAAGAATACAAGAACAAAGTACTTGTATTTTACACAACATACTTTACTATTCCTCTACACTCATGTATCACGAAATGACCACTAAGTCTTTTGCACGTTCTATAGTAATCATTTTATGTAGATTATAATTTATGATGATGCTACTTAATAACACAGTGACAAATCGATTCGACTCACAATAATTTCATTAATATTAACAGTAAGAGAAAACTGAAATTGTTAACACTATACTAATATAACATAAAGACATGTAACTAAGTATAATAGTTGCGGGAAAATTATCCCCACTCCTTCTATTTTTTCTGACTTCTGCGGCGCAAATCTTAGCGTGGCGTATTTGCCGGAGTTACCCTATGCAAAAATTAAAACTTTGATCGATACAACCTTGAATTTCCAGAAAAAATTGGAAAAGCTATCCTTTTCAAAATCCCGAAATAATGAGTAATGTTTTTAAAAATGAGTATGTATATAATGTATCAACAAAGAAAGGATTTTTAAGGATTAGCAATTTTTATCAGAATTAGTGTATGCATAGAACGTAAATGAAAATATATCGATTATCTTGCGTCCCCCATCTGTTTTAGTCAGGTAAAACAGTAGCTCTTTCAACTACTTTTTAAATCGATGCATTTTTTGGTTGATTAGTAGATTTGTTGAACAGAATGACTGATTATAAGAGAAATCAATAAAATAATTTGTTCGTGTTATATGTACTAATAATTGTATCGTAACAGTTTCGATATATGTATTATTGAGCAATATAGGTATATGTATATATTATTTTGAGTAATGTAAAAAATATTTCATTTATGTTGCCAAAAATATGTTCTGCTTTCATAAATAAGCACGTATAATCATAAATTTGAAATTGTAATGAATTTAATGATTGTGATTGGAAATTAGTTATGATAAATTATAATATTACATTATCGCAATTTATTCATATTCATATTTAGGAATAGTACAGGATATCAAAATATAATTCTTTGTATTCAAATTTATTGAAAAATCGAAAATAGTAATTGAAGAAAATTGATTGAAAAATTATCTATTGATTCTTGAGATGCACTTCGAGTTATATCAGGAAATGTACATAAAATTTAATCAAGTTAAAATTCGTATCAAGTATTTATATTTGTTTAAAATTTTTTTGTTTATATTATTAATATGATAGATTGTTGATTCGTAATATCTATTTTTTTTCTTCTTCTTCTTCTTCTTCCACTATAGCCTGCGGCTTGTTTGTACTAATTTACGTCGCCTCTTCTTGTAATGTGGATATATCTCCGAACAGAACAGATCTATCTATTTTTGTTTGTTAAAAGAATTGTGTTATCATTTAGGATAATCGTTTACAAATCAGAATAAATTAATATAAATAATAGTGCTAAAAATATTCTTTTATTATAAAATTTTGAATAATTTAGCAGTATTATTTAAAACTAGTATTATTTAAAAAAATTGAGATATACCGAAAGATTTAATTATATCAGAGCAATGACAATTATGTTGAAAGAGCATGGTCGTATTTATTTTTACGAATTAGTGAAATCTTGTTTTATTAAAACAGTATTTGTTATACAAAAATTATATGATTTAGTCGATAATGCAGACGGTTTTAGGATCCCCTTAATAGTATGCGATTAGTGAAATCTAAAATTTTACTATTAATAATATTACCTTATAATTGGTTTATACTATATAATGTGCGAAAGAGCTCGCGCATATGTTACCCAACATAATTATGAATTATTCAAATGCTTGTAAATCACTAATGCAGTCATCATATAAATGGCAATCAACTTGTTCTGCAAATGCGTAATATTCGTATACATTTTACTGCAGTAACAAATATAAATACAAATACATTAATGAATTGAATAATGAATTTTAATATGATATTTGTAATAATTGTTGGCCTTAAATATATGCGAAAATTTTAGTATAGGTAGAATTTACGAGTACACTCTTATATAATAAAAATATAATTGTCATATATTTTTTTGTTAAATATTTTATATTAATTTGTGAATATTTTTATAAAATATTTAGAAATTAAAAATTAGATGTAAAAAAAATTACAATTAAATAATAACACTAACAAATTCTGATTATTAATTACATTAATTATTAAATTATCAATTACATTTATTATTAGATTCATGACTTTCCTCGTACAATTATTATAACTTTACATAGTTTAAATGAAATAATTATACTGTAAATGTAAAAAAGTCCATAGAATTTTATTTAATTTTAGTTTTCTATTAACTTTATTACATATTGTATCGATGCATCGTTCCTAAAAGAAGTATAAAATAAGTAATAACAATAATTATATTAGGACTCTCGAATTTTAAAACAATAACAAAAAAATAACTATAATAGACTAATGAGAGTCAGCATCGATAAACGGCGCAATTATTTAGTGAACAATTAATAATCAGAAATTGGATTGATGTCTTCTTTATTTTGAACGTTTCGACTCTCTTTGAAGCCCTGCTCAGCACAGATATCATATCTGTGTGACACGTCGTTGTACACGGACGTATGTTCTAAAAATGTGTGATCTATATATTTGATTTTAACAATTCTACTTTTTAAGTTTTAATATGTTCAAGAAAGCTTTAGTGCAGTCTTCATGTTCCATGATAATTAACAACACTACATCTTTGTCAATTTGCGAGTGACTTAAATATTATGGACATGTGAGCTAATTATTCTTGTATCATTCTTACTGAGGAGAGCTCCAAAGAGAATCGAAATATACAAAATAAAGAAGACATAAACCCTATTTCTGATTATTGATTGTTCACTAAATAATTGCACCGTTTATTGATGCTGACTCTTATTAGCCTATTATAGTTATTTTTTCGTTATTGTTATAAAATAAGT